GGGCAAGAACATTAAGGTTAGTCTGTCACATTTGTACTGTGGTAGGGCAGAGGTCTTCCAGTGGTCTCATTAAGCTCCTTTCCATGAGGACTGAGCAGTAGACTCTTCCACCATCAATCATGTCCTCACTGTCTGCTATCCAGAAGCTGTCCATCTTACTCTGGGGAGTGTGGAAGTGGAGGATGAACTTCCACCTTGTTCACCATAACACCAGGGAGCATTCAAAGGAAAAATATCATCTAGAGAGGGGCATGTGTGATTTAGAGAGCCCAGCATAGGCCTTGTGAGCTGAGTCCTGGCTTTTCCACTGTCCCCATTTATCTTTTCTCATCTCTAAAAGGCAGATGATAATGTGACACATGATTTGTAGCCGTGAATGAGTTAGAAACACTTGAGATGCATTTCTAAATATAGCAAGAGATGCTGGAAGGACCCTGGAAGATCAGAAACTGTCTGCTTCATAAGGAAGGTGAGAAAGGTGATTGGTATCCATAAACTACACTTAGGGACAGTTACCCTGAGGGTCCTAAGAGCTTGCAGATGCCTAATTTGGATCTACCCACAGAGGAGCATGGGTGAAGGTGCTTGGCTGCTAGAACACAGCAGAACAGTTGGATAAATAACTTGGTGAGGGGTACCTCATGCACAACTAGGGCCTGTTGAAAGCCTGGGACTGGACCCAGGATTTGAATAGCTTGTTCTGGGAGAGAGGGTCCCAGGAAAGCAGAAGAGGGAAATGTATTACAGAGCTACACAAGTGAAGACTGTCTCATTGTGGGATGAGATAGTCTGCTGCACTACTGGCTCAATGTGAGAAGTTGCCCACTGATAGTGGTTTGGCATCTAAATGCATACTCTCCATCCCATGCCCCCTCTCCCTTCCTGCTTATTTGCTTTTTTCTTTGGGGAATGAATTGCTTTGGCCTGTGGCCTGAAAAAATGGTAGATATGTAGCTGTTCAAAAATGAGAGGAGAGGAAGCGGAGCACACACCTCAATGGATGATAGATAGGGGTGTGCAAAGTGGGCCCTATTCAATTTGGATTTGGCCTGAATCGGGGACAGTGATTCGATTCATTGATTCAGATCACTGTCCCTGATTCAATTCAGCCGAATCCAGATCTGAAGATTTGTTGCTGATTCAGAGAATCAGTGATTCGGCCATAGATACAGCTTTAAATGCTTTTTCTACATACCTCGAGGTACTAGCATGGCTTATGAATGCTGCGATTCTGGGGCAGATGGAATGTCCCACAGGAGGGCGGGGCAGCCCTCCATGTGCTCAGCGGTGAACCCATAAGTGGACTGGAAACACTTCCAGTCCACTTCTGGGTCCGCCAGGGAGCAGGTGGTGGGGGACCCCGTGCCCCTCCAGCTTGGCTATCAATCCACAGGGGAACACTGGGTGCCCCCCCAGACCTCAGAGGCACCAGTCACCAAGCCTGGGGGGGGTGTACAGGCCCCCCCCCCCCCCATGCACTCTCCAGCAAACCTGGAAGTGCTTCTGGTCCACTTCTAGGTCTGCTGCTGAGCATACTGGGGAGCCCCCCACACTTCTGTGGGACACTCCATGCCCCCCAGCATTGCAGTATTCATGATCCACCTGCTACCTAGGGGTATGTAGAAAAAACATTTAAAGCTGTGTCTATGTCCAAATCGCTGAATCTTTCTGAATCTCTCCGAATCGATTCGGAGGGTTCTGATTTGATTTGGAGATATTAAAGGGTCCTCTCATTCAATTCAGATTTGGAGATTCGGCCACCAAATTGGGCTGAATCTCTGCCGAATTGAATCAAGGACCGAAGCTTCACACAGCCCTAATGATAGATGCCTGTTCAAGCAGGATCCATCCCCTCTCATCCACATGGTTCTTGGGGTGTGGGAATCTGTCCCCTCTGCCCTGGAGGGAAAGAAGTCTTTCTTTGTCTGAAACTTCTCTGGTTCTGCAGGCTGAGAGGATTTCATGTAGCTGTTCCTTTGAAAGACAGATTGCTGCCTGCTCCTGCATTCTGGATTCTCATCCAGGAGGTGACAGAGTTCGTATTTTCATATTTGTATCTGTTTTCAAAACAGAAATCAATAAGCTGCTGAAGTGGCTTTTCCCTTCCCATGGTTCAGAAACGCTGCTCCTTTCGTGGAAGAGATTTTGTGAACTTAAAAGAAAATCATGAAAAAAAATGTTCCTCTCTGTCCAGCTCATTAATTCTGCATGCTCAGGACAGAATTAACCTTGGCAAGGCTTCTAGAGGAGAGAGTAATTCTAACCTTAAAAATCTGCTGATTAAAGCTGGTTTCAGGAATTCGATTTCACTTAATGCCTTGGCTGGGATCCCAGCCCAGCATTAACATAGCCATAGACACACAGGCTTTTGCATTTTTTACCTCTCCAATAACAAAAACAACTAATGAAACCCCTTTTGCATGTTTTAAACAAGAATTCATTTTAAGGACTGCTTTAACTAAGTGCATTAAGTGTGTCATGGTTACCCAGCTCTTTAGTACAGCAGGGGACATAATTCCGGCCTCCACAACACTAATTACCTGTGGAAATGCTGGTAAATGTACACCACTGATCTCATTCTAGTAAAATGCAGGTATAGGGAAAAGGAGATCATGGGAACTTTGCCAACAGAAACATCAGATTGCCACAGAGCAATGAGAGAGAGAGAGAGAGACCAGAAGAGACAAGTTTGCACAGATGTCGTTGTGTGACTGCTGGTGCATAAAGTAGGTTGGTATGAAAAAATATGCTGGTTTGCTTCATAGTTCTCATGGCTAACAAACCTGAGCTCAGTGTTTAGCCGGCACAGTGCTTATTCACGGAAAAAGGATCTGTTAAGAGAAAATCCTAATTACACTAAAGAGAAAAAGAGCACTGCTCTGTTCACCCTCCCTTATCCAAAGTGAGATAACCCAATCTGAGCCAGCTTGTTTGCATTTCCCAGTCTTCCTTGGTTCATATCTCAAGGGCGGGATTTGTGTTCCAGCATCTACAATCTGAAGGTCACCTGAAGTGCAGCCAGAACTGGGACTGGATGCCACTCATGAAGGGTGCCAGGATGTCCCTGTATTTAGGCAGCAAGGGTACAGCATGGGAGGGCTTGGAGTCCCGCCTACTTATCTAGATATTCTGAAATGAATGACAAATATTAGGCAAATCTCTTTGGTGCTGAGGTTCCCAAGAGTGCTTGCCCCCAAAGGCACTTGTGTTTAACGATATCCTTTTTAACTTGACATATTTGAGAGCTCAGCATGAGCTGGCTCTGATACTGCATTCAGAATTTCTGTATCTCTTTACTTATTGCCTGGGATCAAAACTGAATACTGCTGGCATAACTGTGTGGGCTACCAATCCTCTGGCAGGGCTGATGTTACAGGTTGGAGGGAAAGAGGCTGGGTAGCTACTAGCTGGGATTCTTGTACCTGGGTGGAGTCTGAATGCAGCAGGGCTCAGCACTGAATGAAGGAACTCAGGACAAGGTCTTTAAAGAGCAAACACAGATATCACAGGGTTCTTTGGCCGTAGACCTGCACAAGGAACAAATGCAGCCCAATCCAGTTTCACAATGGTGCCTTCAGGCTCCTCTCAGCTTTAGTCCTCTCATTACAGTTCCTTCCCCTTGCTGCTTGCCAGGGTTTGGGGGAAATTAGCTCCCCTTACTCGGGCCAGCCCTTGTACCTTGTGGCCAAGTACAGACAGTTAAAAAGCCCAAGCCAGAATCGATTCAATCTAGGCCTCTTCCTCTAAACTGCACAGGTTGAACCAATAAGCAATGGAACTGATGTTCTGTTTTCATTTGGGAAAGGCAGGAAGAGGCCTGCACTGACCCAGGCCAGTAGGCAGGGGCCACTAGAGCACATCTCCCAGCCTGCCGGCCATTGCCAGCCCAGCCACACCCCTTGCTGTCCCCCCACAGGGGGTTAAGGAGTCTCCTGTCTGGGTACTGGCCCACCTAGGGGAAGCCTCCCCCTCAGGAGGTTTCCCCCAGCCTGGGTGGGGAGCTAAGAGGAATTCCCTCCCTCCCCCTTCCCAGCTGCTGACTGCTTCAGCCAATGCCACAGGAGGGAGGGAGGGAGAAGTCCTCCTGGCCCGGTGCCTGCCTGTGCAGCCCAATGTGGGGGCCCCCCTTCCTTAGGGAGCTTCCCCCCACCCCAACCCAGGGCAACCCCAGGGAGCTGAGGGGAGCTCTTCCCTTCCCAAACCCCAGAGCTGCTTGCCTTATCTGCTGCGAATCTCAGGAATAGCCCAGAGCCGCCTCAGGGAGCAGAGGGATATTCTTCTGTTTCCCTGCACTAATTTTGCCTCAGACTCTCAGCAGCTGAAGCAAAGCCAGCAGTGGAGGAGCAGGAGAATTTCCCTCTACTCTCTGAGGCTTCCTGAGACTTGCAGAGACTAAGGCAAGCAGCTCTGGGGTTTGGGAGGGGTTCCCCCCAGCCCCCTGGGGCTGCCCTGGGCTGGGGTGGGGTGGGGTGGGGGGAAGCCCCCCAAGGCAGGGGCCCCCTGGTGCCCCCATAATGAGCTGTATGGGGAGGACTTCTTCTCCCTGCCTCCTGTGGCAGTGGCTGAAGCAATCAGCAGCTGGGAAGGGGGAGGGAGGGAATTCCTCTTAGCTCCCCACCCAGGCTTTTCAGCAGCTGGAAAGGGGGGAAGGGCTACCAAGAGTCAAAAAGCCCCCACCACAGGGGCCTTCCCTCCCCCTGCATGCTGTGTAGACCCTGATTAGGGGAGTCTGGGGATCTGTTTCCCTGCCCCCCAGTTTCTATGGACACAGGCAGGAAGCATGCCAAGGATCAAAGGGGCAAGGCAATCCCTGCTCCACTGGAGCACACAACATAGCCCAGGGCTGCAAAGCATCCTGGGATGCTGGGGGACTGTGAGTTAACTTGAACCAGGAAGTGTGGTTGTGCAGTGAGGACAGGCAGCTGTAGCCATTCCTCAGATGCCTTGAGGCAGGCATTTAGACTCCATTCCATTTCCAATCCCAAAGCCTCTACCACTGAAACTCTTCTATGGAACAGTGATTGCAAGCTGAGTGCAACACAGGATTTGCAGCTGCCTTTCTCCTTCTGACTGGTCTGTGGCCTGGGGTGCAATCACAGCAGCAAGAAGTAGGAGTTGCAGTTCTGTTTCTGTGACTGATTGCTTTATGTAAGTATTGGGATGGTTTCATTGCTGCTTATCAGGGAGACTGCCCCAGCTCAGAATGAGGTCTCTTTCATTCAGGGGTATTATCTGTCCCCCTGTCTGCCATTCCTGACTTGTAGCATGAGATGGGGCAAGAAAGAAATAATGTAGTCATTGTTCTTCATTCAGGCACTGCAGCCCATCCTGAGGCTGATGGGGGGGCTGGAGGAAAAGTGTATTTATTTGTTAGTGGGGTTGGACATTTCTGCACTGGCCTCTGTGCATTGGTCTGGGACCCACTGTTCATTCCTTCCAGGCTGCTGAGCTGCCTTCAGGTTGGAGCAGCTGGAAGAGATTCCACCGTGGCCAGTTCTGGATGTGTGACCTGAAGGTGAAGGCTGAGTTTCTCACAAAACTAATTTGTTCTGACGAATTCACAAGGAATTTGTGAATCTCAGGAGTGAAGAATGAGGTGAGAAGGGTGGGATGCACTAATGAAACCATCATACCTGGTTCCCAGAAGTCCTTGCTGCAGTCTCTCCTGTGCCTAGAATCAGCTCAAAGAAGGGATTCCCCAGTGCTTTGCAAATAATATTTATCTCCTTACAAAGCACAGTCTTACCAAGCTGTTTGAAAGTGGCCCTGTGCTGTTTGCAGTGTCCTGCTAATTACTGCCTGAACTCACTGCATGGCAGCATGCCCAGAAGTACAAACTGTATGACAATGAGAATCTCAGAAAACGCTACAGATGCGTAATCCTGTTACAAATGCAATGGTATCAAAATCCACTAATCAAATTAGGGCTCAAACAGCATCATCGGGGTGGCTTTGATCTGTGCCTCGCCTGGGAAAGGCTGCCATGCTCCCTGTTTGCCATGAAGTGCAGTGCAGTCACTTTTGGGGGGTGCAGGGGAAGCTACCTTTATCCTTACAGATTTTTAAGACCTGGGTAGACAACGTCTTCACTGGAATGGGATGATGTCCAGCCCTAATTTTCTGTGATTCTACCTCTGATTCCAAGTGACACAGAGTTCTCTGGTGTCTGGCCTGGGTGGCTATTTGTTTCACTTTCCTTCCCTGTGCCAGGGATTCTCAGGGACTCCTGTGAGGAATTGGCCTATCTCTGGCACAGCACAGCTGCTGCACCATTCTCTAGAGCTCTTTATTTCTAGGGGTGAGATGCAGGGTCCCCCTGAGCTTTAGTGTGGGCCTCTCCCATTACTAGGCCAGATATCCTAGACCTAAGAACGTGTATTGGAATTTGCAGCAATTAGTAGCTACAGCATCTTCCAAATTACTGTGGCCTAGATTTCCCTGTACTTAGCTGTAATGTAGTGTAAACCCCTGTAAAAGACACAAAGCTAAATGTATAAAAAATGTCCCTGGACAAATAAGCCAAACCCCCTTGTGGGACTCCCTGCTGGATGAATTATTGTTCTTGTTGGTGGCTCAAATAATATCCTTTGAGTTGGGCGTGTGTGCAAAGCTGTACCAAGATGAAGTTGGCATCTGTGCCAGGCAAGCTAAGAGTTGGAACCAATTGGGTGAATCCCTGAGTTTTCCTCAGGGAGTGCAAGACCCCTGAGTAGTCACAGAGATACACAGAGACACTCTGTTAGTGTTGGTAAAACAAGAATCCACCAAGAATCCACCAAGAAAAAGCTGATGAAAATATTAAGGTATGGTAAGTAAGCAACTGCCAGCCCTCTTCACACAAGCAGATATGCTCTCTGTGCATTGACTATTCAGTTTGAAGAGTCCCAGTAGGACAAAGTTCTTGTTTTCACCTACTACATTATTTACAGATCAGAACCAAGGAGTAGTTTTCCTATCAACAGAGGAAAATGTGAACTTCATAGAGACCTGGCCCTGGGTGAAGGAACCTTTCATCTGGGATCCCCTAGGATTGTCCCCTTCTGAGTTGCTGGTATATACTGTACCAAGTTCTGAGGCACATTTTCCTCCCAGTCCCCACATCAGGGTGGTATCATTTTGCAGTACCTATGAGACAGCCAGTTCAGAATGCTCTGAAGGCAATTAAGGCAATATGACCCTGTAACAGGACTGATGATCTAGGGGAGGGCAGGACGCCTTTGGTGGCCACGTGGCTCCTGTCCTGCTCTGGCTCTAGGGTGAAGGGTGAAGGCCACATGGCTCCCTTCATTTCTGTCTGCCATACCTTGGTGTTCCTAGTTAATTTTGGAAAGGGAAGCTGTCCAAGGGCCCTAGAGTGAGCCCTGCCCTGTCTTCCTGCCGGCATATATCTCTCAGACCCTGATAGTCACCAGGGTCTGATAATTCCAATCCAGCCTTCTTGCTAGGTGGGCACTCTTGTCCCATGTGTGCCCTAGGACACTTGCTGCCTTGTGGACTGTTCATGGCCTCTCATCTCCACTACATCCATGCCCATGCCTCCCAGATTATACGGCTTAGTCAATTCCCCTTGTTGGGGCCTTACCCTTCCTGGCCTCCTCCTCCATCCTCTCAGTGGGCCTTTAGCCCTGGTCTACTTTATTGGCCCTGGCTTCTGGGCTCTAGCACTTGTCCCCACCTACTCTGTGAGTTTGAGCCCTGGTCTCGCCCTTCTAGGGCTGTGGGCCACCTGGCCTACTCTCACCTCCCTAGGCTGTGGGCCCCTGGACCTGGTCTCATGCTGTAGGGTTTCAGGCCCTGGCCCTATTTCTCGCCCCTCTCAGGCTCCTCGCCCATTTGGGCTGCAAGCCCTTGGCTCTGGCTTCCACCCTGCCCCATGCCCTCTCTCCACCCTGATTTAGTCACTCTCTCCACCCTGCTCAGGGTCCTCGCTATACCCTGCTCTGGGTGCACTTTCCATCTTGCTCAGTGCACTGGGCCTGCTGACCCTGAGGAGTCATGTTAATATTATTGCATCCTTGACTATGGCAGTTAAGACTGCAAAGTCACTTCCCTTTTAAAGTCTTGTTTTCAATTACTAGAAAGCTTTCCCCTCTGAAAAAATGTTGGCCTAAAATTCCCTATGCTTTGCACTGGCCTGGGGGAGTATATTATATTTTGAATACTGAAAAATGTACTTTAGGCTCAGATGAAGACAGTGATGAATCATTCTCCTTTTTGAACACTCCTCAAATATGGCTGATCTAAAAGCGGAATTGTCATGAGATGGGAACTGACTTTGGAAAGTTTTCTAAAATGTGGTTTACAGACCATGGAGTCATGCAATTTGAAAATGCAGTGCACACCAGCTGAAATCCTCCCCCACCCCAAGAGTCAGCACAGGCTTCTGTGCCACTAAGTCCCTCTTAAGCCATTTTAAGTGATATATAGGGCTTTGTGTTGGTTCTGTGGGAGCACAAATTTCACACAGTATGCCCAGTGAAATATTTTCATTAAAATTTCAAATGTGCGCTACATGTTGGAGGCACTGAACATTAACCCAAATTCTCTTGCTGGTACTATTAACCTTGTAGTTATTGCTATACAGTGTTGTCTTTTCTTGACCTATCATCTGTCTCCCTGGAAATCAGTAACAAAGCAACACAAGGGACCCAGCATGTTAAAACTCTACTAACAATTCTGCATAATTTATTTCATAATATCTGGTATCCTGCCCCCCCCTCAACTTCTCCTGTTCCTCCCACAACCACATCAGTCAGGCACACATGCAAAGGCAGCAACCTCTCCCCACCCCCCTTTCCCCCCATTTTTTTTCCACTTATCATTTTGTGTTCAGTAAAAACGTGTCTTTCAGATAGAAGAGACCTGTGTGAGATTATTCACCTTAATGGCTTTTAAAGACCACTTAGGTTAGCCATCCTATTGCTGCTTTTTCACCTTTTTGTCCCAATATTTACGGGATGCCCTCTGGGTTTCCTCAGATGCTCAGCCTTTCAAGAGATACTTACTTAGAGACTCCATCGTGCCACCTTCTGTCCAGAGTACATGACTTCTATACACAGAGTCAATCAGCAATTTATAAAGTACAACTGAAAATCTATTTTTTTAATCTTTGCTGCAGTAAATAGGGAGACATAATAATTTCCCTATCATTAATTCATCGTGAAAAACTGATCACGATCAACACATTTAGTGTAAAAGTGCATGTCATAAAATATAGGTAAATTATTGCTTCCATTGGGCTAGAACTGACTTGCAACAGCTACTTGCACAGGGTCTGGAGGTTCAGTATGAGAAAAGCATGTATGACACCATTCAGGCTTCCCAGGCAACATTACTTGCAGGGGACTTCTAGACTGCCAAAGCAAATAGCCTAGATAAAGCATGGGGTCACACGCTGGGGCAAAAATGGGAAGAAAACAGATGCATGGGAGGAAAACAGACCTGGGTTGCCCTGACATCTGTCTGCAGGGTTTGCCTAACACCCTCTACCCCCAGAAACACTTCAGGAGGGTAGCCCAGGCTGGCTAGCCCTGGTAGGAATGGCCTCAGGCAAATCGACTTGGAATGCTGTAGATCTCCCAGAGTTCTGCAGGTTCAGACCTTTTCTCACAGGTTCTTCTTTTCAGGAGGAAACCTGCACCCACACTAAAAGAATTCTGATGGAATGACATGAGTTTCTATGCTCACACGCATCCTCTTTGGGAACACACAGCATAAACCTGCCTGTCAAAAACCCTTTTTGCTGTTTATTTTCCCAGCTTGTTCTGAGCTGAAATTCATGGCATACCTAACTCTCATTTCCCATGTTATCAATTTTAAGCTATTATTTCCATTTATGATGGTACATTTATTAACCTTGGATATCCCCAAAAAACAATAAAGCTAGAGTCCCTGATTTTTTTATTTATAACTTAAACATGATTTTTATGCCTTTTTATCTGAAAATTCATTTAATTTTTATTGCAGTCTTCATTTATGTCATCTTTATTCCAGCAGTTGGATTTATTAGGGTTTGTTTCTTTGGTTGCAATATGTCTCCAGAGCTGGCCTTAGGGAAAATGGTGCCCTGGGTGAACTTGAATTTTCATGCTCCCTCCATGCCCCCCAAGTCAGCGGCATTGCTGCAGGCACAGACAAAGGAAAGCAGT